ACTTTGTTAGAGTACTTTCTAAAAATCATGAGCCCCTTCGTTCTTCTCTTTTTCCTTTCTATTTTTACACATACAAATGCCCTTTAAGACAAATTCACAACATTATGTTGTAGCGTAATGTACAGTGGGTCAAATTTTAATTTTTTTTTCTTTTTAATTTGATCCTAGGTGGCCCAATTTACTTTTAAACCTAATTCAATAACTAAAACTAAATCCAATAAGCCTATTAGCTATTTTTAACTATTTTCAAACTTTTTGTACTTAAATTTACATAATTATCTTTTATTAGCTTAATTAATTAAGGAAATAATTTTCAAGATGTTACACATATTAACCCAATATTTTTGTTACATCAATATTAATATATATATATATATATAACTTTCTTTCAATTATCATATATGTTTTATAATTTTGACCTCCTATAAAAATTTCTAGCTCCACCCCTGATTTTTAGATCAAAATTTTCAAAAAGTTAATTCTCTAAAGGGTAATATATGAAGTTCTTATGACAGTATTAGAAGATTTGAACTAATTAAAATTTTTAGTTTCTAAACATAACTCTCAAGATGCTATATTCATTTAGAACTATTAAAATTTTTTGCTAAATTTAATTAAAAGCTATAACTAACTTTAGTAAAAAAAAAATGCATGAGGCATTGAGGCTGATAACTGATCAAGTTTCAATTAGAGCTCTTGAAATCATCTACATGAGAAAATGATATTTTCATTTTTTTTGCATTAAAATTCATTCATAAAAGACAAAAACAGAAACACGAAGCATACAAAAAGCGACTAATCAGTATCATAATATTATTCACCTCCGTTAGATAATTAAGGTGGGGAATGATGATTAAAGATGTAGTAAGATCTCTCAAGTTCGTGAGCTTTCCTAGTATTTTCATGTTTTATATGGATAAAAAATACTACTAATATAGTGGAATTTATTTGTAATTTAACGAACTTAATCAATATTAATATTCTTATAAAGGTTATTTTCTGTAATTTGTTGAGTCCATTTCTACAATTTTCTCCACCATCCTCTATAATTGTTTAGATGAACTAACAATCAAATTAATGGAGGTGCAATAATATTGCTCCTAAACAAATTTAAGAATAAATTTAGTATATAACCCTTTAAAAAAATTAGAGAAAATGACAATCATTCGAAGTCATGGTAGGTACTTGTCGCTGTTCTCCATTGTGTTAACGTTTGACTTCACACAGTGAATTCCGTTGCCAGTTTCCATCACCTAAGGGATATGAACTAGGCACATTAATTGATTAGGCTTTCTATCAATGAATCTCTCTCACTTTTATATGTACGTATGTACGTGTGTGTAATTATTTGGTATTTGATATTAACAATTAATATAAATTCCAACATTCACTAATACATATAACTTAGCTTTAATAACATACATTTAAGGATTAGAAGATATTTTTGCACCTTAATTGTTCACCCAGAAGCATTTGGTATTTTAAATTTTTGTGTGGCACAATTTTCCCTTTCAATATTTGAAAGTAATGCATTAAGAACATTGCTATTAAAAAAATAATTTTGATCATTAATTAACTTAAAAATTATAAAAAAATCTTAAAAACTATATAAAAGGATCCATAAAATTATACATGAGTACCCTATATGAAAAGTAATATTAATTAAATCTCCTAAATTATATATAAATAACAGGATGCAAATATTATCTCTTACCTATGTAAAAGATCATAATACAATTTTGACCAACTATTATTTTAGAAACTCAATTGATATTATTTTTCTTTTAGGGTATTTATTTGTAATTTTATGGGCCTTTTTTTATAAATTTTTTGGTACTTTTTGTAATTGTTTTCTAACTAATAGTAAAAGTGAACTTTTTTAACGATAAAGTGCACAATATAATATTTTTAAATATTAAAAGAGAAAATTGCATTACATATAACTTTGGGATACTAGATGTTCTTTAGCAACTAGTTGAGAAACGAAAATCCCTTTTAATTCTAAATTTAATGGCATTTCTTTTTAATACAAGGCATTTAAAATATACAATGAAAAATTAATAACTAATTAGAGTACCTTACTTGTGGTTGACATGTTATAGTTACTACAATTTTTTTTTTTTTACATATTGTAGCATTTCTTGCTAATTTTGGAATTATATTGCTGCTTGTTAAAATGTAACTGGGGCTTGTTGTTTTTTCAAATAATTAGTTGCTAACTAGAATACCTCGCTTATGACTTTTTTTTTTTTCATATTATAGTTAAAGTGCTTTAGTGGCTCAAATAACATACATATAGTGGCATTTCTTTTTAATACAACACATTTACAAAATTTAATGAAACATTAATAACTAATCGCCAAAAATGCCCTAGCTTTTTTATCCCCTGGATCTCTCTCCCATGAACTATACCAATCAAAAGGTAATCTTGGAAAGTTGTAAAGTTTTGAACATTTAATTAACTGAAACTAATTTTCCTAATCTTAGCAAAGTGGTTAAAAGAGCCTTATGAAAAAGACAAGAGGAAGTACTTCACTTTGAAACAATGATCTCATATTAACAGTAAAATTTGAATTTTTACCCTTAAGAAGTTCAGGCAAGTGATTGACATTGTGCTAAACGGATCAATCTTTATTGGCATTTTGTGGCTGCTGTTTTCTACGCTTGAAAAGAAAAGCTACCATTGTTGGAGCTCCGGGGTCACGGATAGTCTAATGTGTGATTCGTCATCTTGATTTTTGCATCTTATTCTTATTCTTATCAATAGTTAATAAACATTTAATAACATAATAAAGCATGTTCAGCCCACTTTACCTTTACAGTATTTTCCTAGGTTGCATAGAAATGGGTACAACTATTTGATGCAATAGGCATGATACGGTGATATAGTAAATTTTTAGAATTTTATGATACAAGTATAAAATATTTATAATATATATTTTAACATTTTATGATAGATATATAGGTATTTTGATTTTCAAAAACTTTTTAAAATAATATAAGGATATTTATAACAATCAACTAAGATATTAAGTGTTTATTCAAGTTTTTAAGTTATATAATAAAAAAAATTATTGTAAAAAATTATATAAAAAATGTTAGAATATGAGATACATATATTAAAGAAACTTATAAGTATTGTATCGGATACATATCGAATACAAATACATTTATTTTTTTTGAAGTATTCGTGTTTCATAACTATACCCTAAATCCAAGCATATTATTTTCATATCAAAATAGTAATTCATAAAATTTACAACTCTCACGAACATATTAACAACAAGCATATAAGAGAATTGAGGTTCTTCATTATCCTAATTATCTTAACCCTTAGTTTAAAAACCAAGTTTACTCGTGACAATCCATATTGAGCCCCCTCTTTGCTCGAATTCATTGATAAGGAATCAATTACATTCCAATATACTTTTCATCATCAATAGCCAATTTCTATGAAGTTTTTCTAATGAAGTCACTACCTAAAAATTCCTATTTGGTCATCTCTCACAATTAAATTAGTTTCTGACTTTCATTAACTTATTTAGCTTCTCATTAGTCTAAATATCATCATTAGACTCTCACATTGCCTTCCAAATACACATTTCTCATTAGGATTTACTCAAAACCCATCAAAACAACCGTATCTCAACATCTACTGACCAACTGAAAGCCATATTTTTCTGTGGAACCTTCAGCCATTTTTGGACTTCACCAAAAACCACCCAAAAACTATCTAGAAAATGAGTTAGAGAGGGAGAGGAGGATGATAAGAAGCTAACCCAAGGCCAAGCAATAGAAGCTCCAGATGACTCTAAAAAGATGGACTGCACAAGCCTTAGCAACCCAAGTTGAGCTCCACCGAAGCCCCCTGTTCCTCTTCCAATTTTTTCCCACTCTCTTGGATTATATAAGATACTTGAACATCTACCACAGCAGATGACACATTGAGGGTAGCCTAAATTCCAGTCCACTTAATTGAGCCCAAAGTGGTCTAATACTCCCCTAGGTCTAGATCCAAGCCTCTCAAAAAGGACCAATAGACTTAATATTCATCTACTAATCACTTCAGACTAGGGTCACTCTCAAATTACTAATGTACCCTTAATTAATCTTAATTAATTCTAATTAAATTTTTGGGATGTTAAACCAACGAAAGTTGAGTCTAGTAGATGGAGCTAATCCTTCACAATATGATGAATCAAGATTGAAATCCTTGTTAAAAAAAGTATCTACATTTAGTGCCCAACTATACCTTCAATAGGATTGTTCGCAATTAAAAAAAAAGAAAAGAAAGATGTTAGAGAGAGGGGGGGAAAGGGGGGGGAGAGATCACTCAACATCTTGTTTTACCACAGAAGAATGCCAATCACATTAATGTTTTGAAGGTTGACACATTTTTAAGGTGGAGCTTTTAAATATATAAAATGTTACAAAAAACAATTATAATACTTTTCTGAAAAATTCTTAATACTTTTAAATTCACCTACACTATGTCCTATCTATTTATCAAACATACCCTTCTAAGATTCTGGAGACTACCTTTGCCGCCGACTTGAGTCTCCTTCCACATGAAATCTGGGTTAGTCTTGAATCTCAAATATGTCTTCACAGTAGATACACCATTCCTTTTGAGAAAGAGATGGAACGTGTTTTTTTGGGAGAAGGATATTTTTCTAATCAATCGCGTTTTCAAGATGTACAACCACCCTGTCACCACAGATATTTTAACTGGCAGTCATACAACTGCTCCCTCTCCTAATAACCAGCCCACAATTATTTAGCAAAACAAATAACTAACCCAATTTGAAATTAATTATTAGTTTGGGCTTGCACTTCTCATTTTATGGTCCAAATCAAGGGTGGACCATATTCACACGCTAACCCCACTTCTTTCACAGCACAGTAATTACTTAAGTGAATATGAGAATTAAGCAGGAAAGACAGTAAGAGTGGTGTCCCAATAATTCTCGAGTAATTCTGAGAAATTTGAAGCAGGAAAGTTTAGATTGGTGAGAATATGTTCAGGGAAAACCCCAAGCAGTGTTGTAATCAAGCATGAGATGCGTATCTGGTGGAACAAGGATTTTCAGAGTGAAAATGACACAATATTACAATCATATCTTGAAAGAATGAACTATCTACTCTAATAGTTCAGGATCACTGTGGAAATGAGACAATAAAGCATACAACAGAATGAAAATTCAACAGCTGGAGGAATATCTTCCTATTGATCGTAGTACGCATTGGAGGATCCACCACAAATATTACCCCCTCCAAAACAATACAGCTCAAAAATTCAAGAACACTTCCTCTTCTCTATCCCAACTCTTCCCAGCTATGAACAACCATTCGCAAAAGCTGCTATGAGAGGAGTCCAATCGACCCATGAACTGCTTTTACAAAAATAAATTACACTTGTGTGACCAAAGAATATATATGCTTAGCAAACTGAGACTTTTAACCGGTCGATGATGATCATCGAGGGTGCGAGCGAGATAATGCACGGCCTCTAAATTTCTTCCTATTCGTGTGTATATCTTCATTGGCACTGATTGTTGTGTGAACTCCAGTCATCGAGAAGATTTGAAATGGTTTCTTCAAGCTTCTTAGACTGCGGACCTGGCTTGAGGATATTGACATCACCCCACTGAGAGCAAGGATCCATCCACCAGGACTTCCGCCCAGAACACCATGCTCCTGGGACAGCATTATTAGGCCTACGCCGGAGGATCTTTTCGTCGATAAGGTCCAGCACGGGTTCATTGACTTTGAACTGTCTTGCAAAAGCAGCTCCACTTTGCGCCATTAGATCATAAACAGAGGAATTAAGGAAGTGCGGCTCCATCTTTGGAGGATTGTCCCAGACCATGTATCGTAAGTCAGCATTAACTGTGGTGTTTTTAAATTCTGGTGCATTGCAAATGACAGAGTGGAAGTAACCTTCTTGGGATAACTTAACATTCGTAAAATACATCAGAAGCGTTCGAGGTAAGTTATCCCAACCGAAAATGCAGAATTCCATGAATGATCTGCTCAATATAACCCATGGTGAACCTGCAGGGCAAGCAAAGTATTAAAACATACAAGCACTTGCCATTGATTGGTACTGCACGAACAGAAAATGAGCAAACAAATTTGCCTGTGAAGAGTTTGAAAGCATCAGGTGTCGGTCGCTTCTCTGTTGCTTGAAAAATTTGACTCCTCCTTGCTAAATATATACTTGGGTCAACAACGATTGGCTGGAATCTGTCACCTCTGCAAGGATATATAACTACTTCAATATATAATCCAGCACAAGCCAAGTAAATGCAACGAAATAGAAGGAAGAATTAGCAGAAATTTTCATTACTCTTTCCATCCAAGATCACCAGTGTGATCAATGAAATTGAGGTCTCTTCTGACAGAGGAGAAAACATGGGACAGATCTGATACAGATGGAACAGCATACATCAGTAACTTAATTAAACTCTAAATAAGTGAAAAAGAAGAATAATTATATGAACAAAATTATCCAGGCCCCAAATGAATCACAATGCACGGAACAAGTTTTAAAAAAAGAAAAAAGAAAAAGGGTGAACTCAGTACCAGTATACTCAGCAAATGTGCTCAATTAAAATACATTGAGCTTGATGTTAAGTCCAGCTAAAATTTGTAACAAAGCTCAGCTAGTTAATAAATGAGCTGAACACAATCAAATTCATGAAAGTACTACAAATGTTACCTATACCATGTATTCACACAAAAATTGAGTGAAAAAAATATTAACCATCATCATCATGTATGCCTGCAAGTGACTGTGCAAAATATGCAAAGAAAATATATATCACAATTCGAAGACTTTACACATGCACAAATATCGTTATTAAAAAACTGCAACCATGGTTGGCTTAGCTGTGAGAAAATTGATCTCATAAGACCTGACCGAGACTGATAATGAATTTCAATCTTTTTCATTTTTTTTTTAATTTTTTGCATAATGTTATATGATAGTATAGTGAGCGAAGGTTTTTAGCATGGGTATAGTTAGAATAAATTCTAAAAAAATGTTGATGAGAAGATAGAACAAAACAAAAGACACATAGACAATAAAAGATTTTTAGCATGGGCATAGTTAGACATCCTCACCCAAAAAATAAAAGAAGTCTCAAAACCATTACTTGAGAAGGATTTCGAACATCTTCGAAGATCCACAAGGAAGCAGCCCACCTCCAAGCAGAGGAGGAGTTGGCTTCACTCCTCCTATCTTTTCTACCAGGATCTCAAATTCAATGGTTGAGATTTAATATATTATAAAGCTAGGGAAAAAAAATATTTTATAAAATATTTTTTATTACACTTCTGAAAATTTTAATAATTTATATTTGTTTATTATATAATAGTCTAATAACAATATTATAATATATTAAATCTCAACCATTGAAGTTGAGATCCAATGGTGGAGAAAATAGGAGGGTAAGAAGAAGGGATTGGTGGGACAGAACTCAACTCCAGGAGGGACAATTTAAAAAATGTTGGTAGCACTATGATAGAATTTGTTGTTATACATTCTCAATTTCTCATAGGAGTAGTTAAGTGACTGGACTATTGGCATTAATTCTTTTTTTAAATTAAAAAAGGCAAGTAGAAGTACTTGAAAAAGAAATAAACAACATAATACAAGAGTTAGTAAGGACAGCTACGAAGGGAAGGTCCCTCACTACTACCCCTATCCAAAAGAAAATAGCCTTGACTCCTGAGGCATGTTCCAAAGGAGTTAACTGTAGTTTGCAGCTGTCTGAGCTGATTTGCCAAGTATATCAGCACATTTTAAGAATTTCCTAGGAGAATAAAGTATCTCATGGTCCCAGTCCTCACAGAGAATTTCTCTAACTTGGCAGATCTCCAAATGCAGTGGGTGTTCTGGCTCACAGTCTCTCACAATAAGATTAAAGGCCTCAAATGAATCAGAATATAGAACCTCGTTGAAATGGTGGTCTTGCATATCTGGATTCCCTTCCTAATAGATGAAAGTTCAGCAGCAGTGCACGTTGCAAATCCAATGGAAAAGCAACCTGGCTAATTCGTTGGTGCTAGATTCAATTATTTATGGAGAAGGTAAACACAACTGCAACAGTTTTGTAAACATGATCATTGAACACAACTAGGCGTAATCAACTTTGGACTGACGTGCAATGCAATTCGCATAGCCAGTAGATTAGCACAAAGGGACTAAAATCACACAAGACTCCCTGAATTCTTTTACTAGAAACATGAACCAGATTTTAATAACCCTGTTATTTCAGTGATACTCAGGATGGAGGAAGGGGATAGGGGAATCTCTAAGCATGCATCCAGTTTCAACATCTACACAGAATAATAACTTGTTTCTTTTGCTCGTAAGAACAGATTCCTCCAAGCTTGGGCGTTGGATACCTAATCAGTTGGAAAAACGAGATTCTTCTCATCAGCTGATCTCCCAACATAGACCAAAATATGGGCAGTTCCCTTCAGTAAAGATCAATTCCAGACTCAGGAAGAAATACACTTCAGTCTCATTCATAACCAAGGGTTGGACCATGATCTGACACTTTTTCTATACATAATCAAACAGAATTGCCTCAGAGTTCAGTCCATACGTCTTCTACATTCAAGCTTGACATTCACTTTAAGTTCGGTCCATATCATGAAAATGGAAATAACTCAGCACTATTTCAGTTTAGAATTTAAAGGTCTACATCTGTATGAAATATATCTCTTGACAATTAATTAGCTTCAATTACATGCTGCAGAACACAATACACTCTCTTTCCTCAATCTATTCCTGTCAGTCATCCAATCCAAGTCTAATTGTACAACCAGTAACAAGTAGTAACCATCAACTCAAGCCATTCAATCATTCCCTATTATTGAGTCTATACCAGACAAGGTTTCTTCCAAAGTTGTGAGCAAAGATGACATATAATAAGTTAACAAGATTAATCAAGATACTATCTCAAACCTCCCTTGTTGATATAAAGATCTTGGCCGATGCTTTTATTTTTAATTTCTGTTCCAATATGCATCCATATAGAATGGGTTTCTTCCACAGTTCCAACAAAACAGACTAAAATGTACAAAACTCCCTTGACCTTTGACTCAGTCATTGCTAACTCCCTAACACTTGGAAGCTCAAAAGTAACCCCCCTGAGCTTTATATTTTAACCATAGACCTCCTGTCATTACTTTTTCAGTTACCTTAGTAACAGAAAATTGCCATGTCAAATTAATGAAAGTCATATGGCATCGTAAATGGAATTAAAAAAAAAATTTCTTAAATAGTCTAAAAGAAGGTTCAAAATCTAAGTTTACCGTTCACAAACATTTTCATTGTAGCAGCAACCTGGATAGTTTTCAGCAAAATACACATGCAAATCAAGCAGCTCTTTCAATCGTCCTTTGCATTGTCTAATCCTTTCTGTCCTGTGCAAAGAAAAGCAACACCCATTTTGCAGGTGACACACTCACTAATCCCAAAGCTAAAATCTCCATAACCTTGCTTAGGCTAAATATATAATCCTTTCACTTCTAATTGAATTAAGTGGTTTTTCTTTCTATATTAGGCTAAGTATAGAATTCTCTCACTCCTAATCGACATCAAATTTCAGGTTTCACAAAGAGCCACTTTCGGCATGCAGTAGAAATCAATGTAGGCAAAATCCAAGTTATTAGACGTTTTGGGCTGTATGTACTTGTGATTCTTGTGCTACAACTTTAGATTTAGTTATTAATCAACAAATGGATCTATATATGAGAAGAGTTCTTCCGGGTATTTTTCTTCTTGAGGAAAGAAATTACTTTTGTAGGTTCCATTTCATTTGTTAAGGAAATTCAGTAAGTAGTATTGTTTTCAAGAAGCAAGGATAATTCAACTTTTATTATCGGCTCTATATGCAAAGGGTGATCCAACAGTTCTTTTGCTATTGAAGATGGGGATTCGGGAAGGCTGCTGCTGCTACTGTGAAAATGATGACAAATGGAAAATTACATCTTGACCCTTCTTTGAGATGTTTCAAAAAATTCCTAATTATTGTATTCCATGTCAGATGCCATGTAGCATTAATTAATCTAACATGGCCATTTCCATTACCAAGATAACTGAAAATGTAACGGCAGAGGGTCTATGGCTAGAATATAAAAGCTCAGGGAGGTTGATTTTAACCTTTATAATGTCAAGGGGCTATCTGTGACTGACTCCCCGGGGAGTTTTGTATTTTCCAGTCAACAAAATATGACAAATAATTCATTAGCATGACCATTAAAGATATTGTCTCAAAACTTCCTTCCTGCTATTCCTGCTATGAAGATCTTGGTCAATACTTCTTTTCTTTTCTGTTCCTATCGGCTTCTCTAACTATCAAAATGCAAAATTCCAGACATGCAGGATAGAAAATTGTATAAAATAATAATAATAATAAAATTGGACAACCCAAAAATTTAAAAAAAAAAAAAAAAAGGGCGTAGCATGGTGAAACTTGGCATCATAACTTGGAATTAGACTTAGGACCCCAGAAATACAAAATCAGGACATCTAATATTACTCATTCAGAATACAATTCTCTTAACAAAATAAACACTGGACTTAGCAGTTATGGGAACATTTTCCCGGAAACTCGGAATGGGAAAAGCCAAAAGCCAAACGAGAACCCAGGCATCAGCGACCAAGCTCTTTAATATTGATGCTAAAACTAGAGAAACTAAGATTTTAACGTCCAAAAAAGGTACACCTAAATCAACATTATGGGTGAATCTAGGAACCAATAACGAAGAGGGGAAACACCACAACAGCCCTGAAAAACTATAGAACTAGCATAGTTGAATGAAGTAAACAAACAAAAACGCTACTTTTTTAACTTACCCGAATCAAATGCATAGTAAATTAAAAAAAAAAAAAACGGAATGACACAAATACAGATTACCGAATCAGCATACCATCCTGGGTGATGAGGGGATAATCACGAGCACTCAAAGTGATGAACCAATTCCACCCACTATCCAATTTCAACATAACTGCCGCAGCTCGCAGGGTAATGGCAATATTAGTGGAGCCCAAGTAGGTGATCCAATCGGCCTTGCCCACCACATCTACGTTTCCAAAAGCACGAATCGCAGGCACGGACCTAATTGCCGCAGCCAAAAGGCGCCTCTCTTCGTCCTTCGCATCCAGGCCTAGGTGCAGAAGATACCGATTCCGCGGATGATAAACTGCCAGCAACAACCTGATGATCCGGTCCTTATCTTGGTGACCACCTGAAATGAAGTAAGCGAAGGCCGGTGGGTAGTGAGCTCCGTGCTGAACCAGAGAAGGAAACGATTTGGCGGAGCTGAAGGTGGACACAGAAGAGCGTAACAGTAGGATGAGAGAGAGAAATGCCGTCGTAAATAGCGTGAAAAGCCATTTCTTCTCAGCTCCCATAATAATAACAATAACAACAATGACCCTGGTTTTTGTAGATGGTGATGGGCATGTGGCTTCTTCTGAAATCCTCAGAAGTCAGAACTGGTTTTGGATTAAATTTAGGTTCCGAGATTGTCCTGGTAGACAGGTCATGGAAGATCTTGCTTGAGCTCTTCCAAACTTCGAAAATTGAAAACCAAACAGCAATGAGGTGACAAAAAATGAAATACTTATCGGAAACTGAAAAACCCAAACAAACTTCCTTACAGGAGTTGTTTCCCACTATTTCTAAAGCTCAAATTCTTAGAAAACCGTGTGATGGGGGCTAGGGTTTTCAACAGGCGAGATTTGTTGGGGGCTTACGGAAGACGATGAAGATCACGGACTCAAGCACTCTCTTTTCCTTCAAGGGAAAACATTTAGGCCATGTTTGGTATGTAGGTTTCAATTTGGAGGGATTGAGATTGGGATTGGGATTGGGATTGAGATTGGGATTGGGATTGGGAATAAAGTTTTAAAATTATGTTTGGTATGTAGGAATATTTTGAAGGAATACCTTATTTCATTTTATTTTTTACTTAAATATAAATTATAAAAAGACAAAGATACCCTTAAAAATAATAAAAACAGAAAATAAAAACCAAACGTGATCATATTCATCCCTTTGTCTCGTCATTTCTTCTTCTCACCGATGAACTTCTGCGACGGTGAACTCGAGAGATCTCCGGCTTCCATTTTCGATCGTCGAGCTCCATATTGTGAAGGGTTTCGTTCGCGCCATTCTGATTTCTCTCAGCTCCATCAACTCATATAAGCGCCTTTAAGCCGAAAATGAAGAGCCAAGGAGAGCGTGTCAGGTATGCTTTGAAGCCTTCGGACTCTGCCTTTGATTTACTTCGGACTCTGCCGTTGAGCGGGGAGATGAGCGAGGGGCCCACCTTGGAATCTGAGGTGTCGGTGAAGCTCAGGTACCAGGGCTTGAGGGAGTCGAAGTGATGGGAGACGGTGAAGGAGAAGCGAGAGGAGGAGCAGGAGCCAATCTTGGCCGTCGACTTGAGGGGTCGAATCGGAGGGAGGAGCAGGCTCTCGGGTAAGCCGCCATGTCGTTGAAGTCCAGCGATTCCTCAAAGTCTAAGGACGATACTACCATTGTCGCAGTCGATAACTCCACAAATGCCCGCACTCCCTGCAGCCAATCTTCATGCTCACTTGGTTGGTTGATGTATTTGCAGGTGAAACCTGGTCTTCCTTATTTGGATATCATAAGGTTGCTGAGGGATAATTCTCCTTTGCCAATTGCAGCTTATCAGGTTCTTCTCTGGCTCATTCTATATCTGAATAAGAAATTTTTTGATGAAAAGATTGATCGGATATTTAATTAACTTGGACTAATGCTGTAGTAAGCTGCCTAAAGGTGACTAAAATCTTCTTTTGGTCTCACTATGGTGTGCTACTGATAGTCTTTCTTTTTTGTTTTCTTGAATGGGTTGGGATAAAATGCCTGCTTGATACCTGAAAAGTGAAAACATATTTACGTTCTACTATTTATCTTGTGTGCATAGGTTTATTTATGTGAATTCATAATTTGCACTGCCTATGTTTCTAAGATTGTACTAAGTCGCTGAGTACAATAAGTAGGTCAGAATCAATGTGATTTGATGGATATTGTTGAGGTGGAATATGAGAGCACAGTTTTAAACGCAGAGTCTCAACGCTGCCATTTATCTTTCGCTGCCAATTAATTTCTGTAGTCTCGTGAAACTAAGTAAAAGGATTGAGGGGGAGCATTGTTTATTTATTTAAGAATGTAAAACTTGAAGCTGACTTTAGGATCGATTGAGAAGCACACAAGTGGTGATTGTACTATCTTCCAAGCCGTTAGACTTCCTTTTCTGATTTAGCATATTGCGTGAGGTGCAACTTTATATAGGCTTTTAGACATTTGTAATTATATATAGCTCAAAGTTGAGTATTGAAAGGGAAAAAAAACTCACTTATATTAAATATCTTTAGAAATTCAGCACTATTTATCAGGTAGTGCTGAATCTCTGGCCCTTTAATTGTGCTATGTGCTTATGGTTCCTTTTATAGTTCTTATATGGCGAGAAGGCTTAGTAGAGTAAGGAACAGAACATATATTGCCACTTTGGCTCCTCATTTTACTGTTCTCAAACTTTGATTTGGTTGGTTTGAATTCACAAGTTGTCCATCAATGCCAATGCTTGAAATTGAAGTGCCTCAAAGATGTTTGGTGAAATGTCTGACCCAAGAGATGTGATATATCATTACAGTCTTTTACTGCATATATACGAGGTACTTCGTAGTTAATGCCCCATAACCCTGTCATGCTTTCCCCTCTCTCTTCGCTGTTTCGTTTCTAATTATAATAATATATCAGCACCAATTAATTCCTTTTGCCTCTGTCTCTCCCTCTCCCTCTAGTCCATTTACAAGTATATAATCCTCTGTGGGTCTTTCTCTTCTTCTCTGCCCTTCATTTCTTCCATGTTTTTGAGCTTAAACTTGGTTCAATGAGATTGATATTTTTGGTGTGTCTTTTGGTCTTGCCTAGATCTTAGGTCCAACAACACAGTATCTGCAAGGAAGAAGACATTCCTTGTCTCTGATTTGATTGAGGGCAAAAAGAAGAGCTCAAGTGAGCATGAAGATGAAAATGTCAACAGGTGTGCAACTCCAAGAGGTGCCGTTTTAGCCATTCATCTTGTAGCGTAATGACTAGAGACTCATCCCTACTGGTTCAAATCCATTACACAACAGGTAGAATAATAGACAAAGACCCATCTTCCTTGTAGCGTAATGACTAGGATCCTGTGTTAGTGCTCTAAAGATTATGTGTCCAGTTGACTTCTTCAGAGATTTTTTGCTTCACTTCATTACTCATGCTTCAAACATGAAATATATTTTATCCTCATTTAAGATTGCATGATATAATTCAAGCATGTTTAGGGTGACAGAATTAGAACAAACTGGTACAAAAAATCTACAAAGAAGTCAATTGGGTCTGAGTCATATTCACTATATACTCAGAGACCAAAAGGGAATTTTAGTCGACCAAAGTGGACAGTACAGTATGATCTTCATATTTGTTTCAGGAAGTTGTATTACTTTGCTGTTATATATCAATGTAAATTCTGGAAGAAACTAGCGTGTATTACATTCTTCTTCTAGAGTTGAAAAGACCCCGTAAAAGAAAAATGTGATGGAATATATTTCATAAATATTCACAACAGTTTAAAATCACGATACTCCATATGGTTTAAAATCACAGGATTTTTCATAACAGGATTTCTGCAAATAAACATACAAGATGGAAGCTCGCATTCACTTATATGGTTTAAAATCACAGGAGACACTGAAGAAGAGAAAATATTAAGCAGACTTTTATGGAAAAGAGAAGCGAACTGTGGTTGGAAATGCAGGAAATAAGGAGTGAACCTTCAATTGCTCGGCGAGGCATTCTGTTATAGGAAATGAAGCCTTCAGCAGGTTCATCAACTATCCGTGTCATAGTCATCACAGCCGAAGATGAAGCATTCTCAGTGCATTTCCCTTTCTATTTCAAGAGGGGCACTTGGGGGCGAACAGAAACATCCAAAAAAATCCATCAAGAAGCAAGCTTGTGTTCTGTGGCTAAATTAAATGAGGTGTATGTATATATATAATATAGCATTTAGATTTATTTATGAAGTCTGTAGCTATATGGCTCCAATCTAGTGGTTATATCTCTGATTCTGTGGAATTTGCAAGTGTTATATCACAAGTTTTTGTAAATTTTGCAAGTGGTTATAACAGCCATGGATCTTTAAATGTAAGTCTGAACTTGAAGCTATAGTTTCTTTATTTTCCAAGTTTTATGCTGCATCAGTCTCTTCGTCCACCTCATAATTAACATTCAAAAATGAAAATTTCAGTATTGTTATAAAATAAAATCAAATTTTGCAATATTTTGATCAAAACTTCCCCCCTAATTGATAGAATTCCTGATCAAATTCTTTCATTTGATGGCATTTTCATATGGGCAAGGAACCAAGTTGCAACTTTATGATCAAATTAAGCTAGTGTATATATACTTGTATATATACTACTATTATATAAACTTCCAATAGATGCTCTATAAAACATGAAACAAAGGATGTCATTTATCATATCATAATTAATAAGGTCAAGGAAGCAAGATACTCTATATCTTACTTTGAAACAAAATATAGTCAATGGTGCTACTCATATATCCAAGCACCCAAGTAAGATATGCCATATCTTACACAAAAAATTAGACATCTAAACATGACATTACATATAAAGGATCCTCTTGCAACTTTACTAAGGATCACCAAAAAATCGAGATACACCAAAATATCAAGTGACACTAATACTAGCTTATGCTATTATTTCGCGAATCACATCAGCTTTATCCTCTTCAGGCATGGAATAAAAGCCAATTAGCATATTCTCATCACCAATAATCTTCACATATGCCTTGAGACGTTCTTGGTGGGAAAGTCCTTCAACCTTCTTCAACTCAACAAGGAGAGACGACCTCATGCCATCAATACGTTTCTCACGTTCAACTCTATCAAGGTGCATGCCAAAACGCTCAGATGACTCCTTCAACCCATCAGCTAGTGTTTGAACAATCATTTTCATGCCTTCAAGCATGGAAGGTTGAGCTTCAGTGCTGTTTCGCTTCCTCTTTTTCGCTCCGGAAGTTGCATCAGAAGGGGACAGCTCAGTTGGAGAGTTCTCTTGTGGTGAAGTATTGGCATGTGATCCATCCATTTGAGAATCAGTTGGAATGTGCTCAGTAGGAGTATCTTCTACGGGTGAAGTAAACCCATGTTGATCATGAAACTCTTCAACGATATCTTCATACGTTTGAGCATCCTTTCCATTTGCCCTATCCTTCCCAAAGATATTAGATAGCTCATCATAATGGGGGAAAGTCTTGTTTCTCCATTTAGCAGCTTTCTTGTTTACCTGCGACAGAAAAAAACAAATAAACTGCAGAAAGAAACAGCAGAAACTAACAGCCAAAAAACCAGAAAAAATAAATAAATAGCAGAAGTTGAAACAGCAAAAACTGACAGCAAAAAAAACTAGAAAGAACAAATAAGCAGCAGAAACTAACAGCCAAAAAACCAGAAAAAACAAATAAACAGCAGAAATTGAAACAGCAGAAACTGACAGCAAAAAAAACCAGAAAGAACAAATAAGCAGCAGAAAGAAACAGCAGAAACTAACAGCCAAAAAACCAGAAAAAACAAATAAACAGCAGAAATTGAAACAGCAAAACTGACAGCAAAAAAACCAGAAAGAACAAATAAGCAGCAGAAAGAAACAGCAGAAACTAACAGCCAAAAAACCAGAAAAAACAAATAAACAGCAGAAATTGAAACAGCAAA